TCCCATCATGAGGCAGAATGCCCAGCCTTCCTAAATGGGAAGGAGTCCAACAGACAACAGCATAATTCTTCGCACTCTTTCTGGGTCTTATCCTTCAGTGTTAGGGATACTAAGTTGGATGAACCATGGAATATGACTCAATGTAACTAAGTAGTCATATATTTTAAAAAAACTTTCAGATTTATTTTTATGACTGCTTTCTACCCTTGTATTTCCTTTAGGAACAATGGTTAATGTTAATCTAAAAATGTGCAGAGGGTTAAAGACTTCACCAGGTTTACTGGCCTCTGCCTTTTCCCACTCTGCTGTTAGGTCTCTACCGGAGGGTCTACAATGGCTCAGGCATAGAGACCTGGGTTTGAATCTCAGGCCTGCCACTTACTCACATGTGACCTTGTTCAAGACACTAAACCCTTGCTGTCTCATTTTCTTACCTGCAAAATGTGTACAATCCAATCCCAAAGAAAGGCAATCCCAAAGAATACTCACACTACCGCACAATTGCACTCATCTCACATGCTAGTAAAGTAATGCTCAAAATTCTCCGAGCCAGGATTCACCAGTACATGAACCGTGAACTTCCAGATGTTAAAGCTGGTTTTAGAAAAGACAGAGAAACCAGAGATCAAATTGCCAATATCCAATGGATCATCAAAAAAGCAAGAGAGTTCCAGAAAAATCATCTATTTCTGCTTTACTGACTATGCCAAAGCCTTTGACTGTGTGGATCACATAAACTGTGGAAAATTCTGAAAGAGCTGGGCATACCAGACCACCTGACCTGCCTCTTGAGAAACCTATATGCATGTCAGGAAGCAACAATTAGAACTGGACATGGAACAACAGACTGATTCCAAATAGGAAAAGGAGTACGTCAAGGCTGTATATTGTCACCCTGTTTATTTAACTTATATGCAGAGTACACCATGAGAAACACTGGGCTGGAAAAAGCACAAGCTGGAATCAAGATTGCCGGGAGAAATATTAATAACCTCAGATACGCAGATGACACCACCATTATGGCAGAAAGTGAAGAGGAACTAAAAAGTCTCTTGATGAAAGTGAAAGAGGAGAGTGAAAAAGCTGGCTTAAAGCTCAACATTCAGAAAACAAAGATCATGGCATCTGGTCCCATCACTTCATGGGAAATAGATGGGGAGAGAGTGGAAACACTGTCAGACTTTATTTTTTTGGGCTCCAAAATCACTGCAGATGGTGACTGCAGTCATGAAATTAAAAGATGCTTACTCCTTGGAAGGAAAGTTATGACCAATTGAGACAGCATATTAAAAAGCAGAGACATTACTTTGTCAACAAAGGTCCATCTAGTCAAGGCTATGGTTTTTCCAGTGGTCATGTATGGATGTGACAGTTGGACTGTGAAGAAAGCTGAGCACCGAAAAATTGATGCTTTTGAGCTCTGGTGTTGGAGAAGACTCTTGAGAGTCCCTTGGACTGCAAGGAGATCCAACCAGTCCATCCGAAAGGAGATCAGTCCTGGGTGTTCATTGGAAGGACTGATGCTGAAGCTCAAACTCCAATACTTTGGCCACCTCATGCGAAGAGCTAACTCACTGGAAAAGACCCTGATGCTGGGAGGGATTGGGGGCAGGAGGAGAAGGAGATGACAGAGGATGAGATGGCTGGATGGCATCACCGACTCGATGGACATGAGTTTGAGTAAAGTCTGGGAGTTGGTGATGGACAGGGAGGTCTGGCGTTCTGAGATTCATGGGGTTGCAGAGTCAGACACGACTCAGCGACTGGACTGACCTTTTAAAAGGTGACTTGTTTCACAGGGTCACACATAGAATCACACAGATCCTGTATGCAAAAGACCTTTTACATGCTCAAACATAAATTATTTCTTTATATTTATAATTTCAAACAAAATTAGGCTGTTTCACAGGAAAATGTGACTCAGCAGTAAAGAATCTGCCTGCAATGCAGGAGCCTCAGGAGACCTGGGTTCAATCCCTGGGTTGGGAAGATCCCCTGGAGGAGGAAATGACAACCCACTCCAGTATTCTTGCCTGGAGAATCCCATGGACAGAGAAGCCTAGCAGGCTACAGTCCACAGGGTCGTGAACAGTTGGACACAACTGAAGAAACTTGGCACATGGAAACGTATATAAAGACCTCATGGTTAAAGGCTAACAGCTCTCTTATGGTCCAGATTTCACTGAAAAAAGCCAAGAACACTGAGACAAAAATCAAGCTGATACTAAATTATAAATTTGCAAATGACAATAAAGCACAGATGGATTGATTGAACAAATTTGAAAATAAATAAGTGAATAATAATGACCCTCCCTTTCCCTGGTCTTCTACTATGACCCCCTGGTTTAGCCAACCAGATTCCCTAAGCACTGAACTAGTCAAAGGGGTTGTGAGATGAACATTCAGTAGCCTATAGGCATGCCAAAATGTATCTAAAACTGGAACAGAAAGGAAAGTGGCCAAGTTCATGTCTGTCTTCGTCCTTCCTTCACTTGCCTGAGGCACCACAATGAAAGATTTTATGTCCCAGACCCACAGCTTCCCAGGACCTCTGCCTAATGACCTGAATCCCTGGAGAGTTCTTCATCCTAGTATCCCTCTAAATGCACATTAGGGGAAATCAGGGAAACAAAAATTACTTAGCATTTTACAGAATTCCTCCTTTTTTTCCTTCATAGGCTGGATGCCAGTTTATGAGTAAAAGTAGGAGAGACTACTGTGAATGCCTTTTCTAAGCCCTGTACTTCTAACTCAGAAACTCTAAACAGCATCAGATGAAAACAGTGAGGCTTATAAACCAACCACCTCTACTGCCAGATAAAGTTATAGTAAAGTATCAAATATGATAAAAAATTCCAACAAATCTATCTAATCAATCAAGGACTTCTCTCCTAAGGAAGCAAAAGAAAACCAAGACATTGCTAGGCCAAGTAGGTATTTATGTATTCAAACAGCCTTCGATTTCATCTTATTTCTAAGATCTCTTTATATCATTTGAAAAGATGTTGAAATATCCGAAACAGTGAAATGGCAGGTGGGGTGGGATGCAAAAAACCTGGGGCCTTTGATCCTGATAATTTTCTTTCTGCATTGAAACAGCAGAGGTCAGCCTAAAAAGGGTGATGCATGTCCTGTTCTTAACAAAGGTTTCAATTCCTAGGCCCTCCCACAAGTATGCATATACCAAACTATGCCTCTGTCTCACTTAAGCCGTTCTTCAATACTACAAATCCTACAAATAACAGTTGTCTGTAATATCTGAGAGTCAGGACTAAACTAAGATTCTGACATTTCTTTATCTTCTCCATCCTTCTGAGTCTGAACTTGGGAAACTTCTGAATGGCAGGGAAGAGTCTCTATAACCAGAAACCCATTTTCTAAATCCAGCATTCCACATGTCACCATCATTCACGGAGATAATTTTAAAATAGTCCTTTGAAGTCTTGTCTCTCTTCTTTGTCACTATAACTCAGAACCAGCAGCACAGGCGTCGCCTGGCAGCTGGTTAGGAGCCCAGATTCTCAGACCCCATCCTAGACTTGCACTCGAAGATGATTCCAGGTAATACATATGCACATTCAGGTCTGAGGGACGTTGCTCTAAGCCAGCTACACTCTCAGCCATTGGGTTCCTTTTCCGGGAAACCAATCCTCCATTGAGGAAGGCCCACACTGGGCACTGTAACGTCCCCAGCATCACTCTCCACTCTCCCCAGTGTGCACATGGAAAGCTGGCTCTTCTCCAAAGAACACAGGTAGAGTGCCTGGTACACTACTTAGCAGCATCCAGGAGCCACTCAAACACGTATTTTCTTTCTGTATACCTATTCACCACTGCCAATATTCTCATATCTCTTCCAGATGGCCCCTTTCCTGTCATGATCTCTCTTCCTCTCAGTTTCTAAAACAGATTCTCTAGTGAAGTGATTCACCAGGCGCTAACGTCAAAGTTTTGACTCTACAGTTTATTTGCTGGGTCAATCAGGAAGACAATTTAACATTTCTAGGCCTCAGTTTTCTCCTCTGGTAATAACAGTGCCTACCCTTGGGGCTGCTGTGAAAGCACTTTATTCCATATTACTACAGCACAGTACTCATGCTTGGGCTTCCCAGGAGGCACTAGTGGTAAAGAACCTTCCTGACAATGCAGGAGATGTAAGAGACACAGGTTCCCTCCCTGGGTCAGAAAGATCCCCTGGAGAAGGAAATGGCAACCTGCTCCAGTATTCTTGCCTGGAGGATCCCTATGGACAGAGAAGCCTGGAGGGCTTGTGTTCATGCTCAGACCGAGACCTTTCCACTGACTTAGTTTGGATGCCTTCCCATTGCTTTTAAGGGCCACAGCACTGACAGGCCAAGCCACATGGCTTACCACCTAATTGTAACTCTCCTGTAGAGATCTTTATTTTGTCTTACTGGTTTTGTCTCCAAAACTGGATTTTAAAAGACAATGTGTCAGGAGGGTGGTTGTTTTTATAGATGGTAAAAGTAGTTCATGGTCTTTATAGGAAATACAGAAAATATAGAGAAATATGAAAAAGAAATAATAAACAATCCATAAGCTCACCACTAACAGAAAACAACTGTTAACATTTTAGAGGATTCCTTCCAAACAAGAAGATCTTGGGTTTCAGAAGACCAAGGGCCAAGTCTTAATCTTCTCAGAGTTTTCCCTGGCTTTCCCACACCCAGTGCTGTCCCACCTCCAGCACCTAAGCTAGCACAGTGCGAGGAACTTTGTAGCTGATACACACTTGTTCCTTAGCTGACTGACGTACTGATGAGGCTTTCTCTGCACGTATGTGTGTACTGGCTACATACTGAAATAGGAATACTGTCAAAAGCAGTGACAAAATCTGTTTTGTTCTTTGTTCAGTTCAAGGTGCTGTAAGAGTGTGCTCAGATCTGCACCCCACCTGACCGCTGTCTGTGTTTGGTGGTGACAGTGTGTTTCTGCTGAGGTCTCATGTTTCCCTTTTCAACGTACTCAGTCTCACATACCTACAGGAATGGTCATCCCGTGAATTTTATCCGCCCAGCCTGCATAGTACCGAAGAGTTTTGATGACTCCTTGCAAATCGACATAAAATGCTTGCAGGAACGGTTTGCCACCATTGAGGGATTCCATGGTCTGTGGGAAAAGAAACAGAGAGAACTTTCCAGTGATACACTAAGTGATTGCTGGAGCAAACAAAAAAAGGCATGGAAAGCATACAAATGAATCTGAATAATGACGCATACCTGGTCAACTGTGATTTCCCAAATGAAAAGATGTGAGCACTGTTTGTTGAGTTTAGTTTCCAGTAAAAGCCACCATGAGTATGTATGTGCATGTTCTTGTGCTTTGGTGTGTGTTTCCAGTAACCACTATTCCAATACATAAACACTACTGGTGATAAAGAAAGTGTTCTGCTTGTCAACCAGCTTCTGTTACATTAATGATCAGAACTGTGTGGGGATTTTTCAGAGTCTACATCAGTAATCTGAATCCATAAAGAGGAGCAGGGACATGGGCTTTTATGCACTTGATGAGAATATAAAACGTTCTCCACAGCTGCCAAGACCCCTGCTGAGAAATGGAATGGCCACAGTGCAGAGCAAGTTTATTTATTACCACCAAATAAACAAGATCTCCTCTAGGGAAGCTCATACTGCAACAACATGAGGGCTGGTTTTCTGTAAATATTTAGCTTAACAACCATTATCTATTAAGAGTGAAGTACTCGGTCCATTTAATAAAAATAGAGTTAGAGTTATTAAGCAGTTTTAGATTATAAATGTTATTATTTTAATGACACATTCCTAAATAGGATAAGTCTGTAATGTAAAGAATTTAAGAAGAATTCACTGGAATAAGAAGAGTATTTTGACTTGAGAAATAGTAGAGGTTTTTACATATTTAACAAATAATATAAATAAAAACATATGTTTGCAATCTCATGTCCTCTTCCTCAAGGACATTTTACAATATATACTGGCACTAAAATTATCTGAGTACTAACAAAACTAAAATTGAAATACTCTCCATTCAATGACATAAAAATAACATTTACAGTGTAATTTATTCACGTACTATGTGTATAAGATGGAACTCATTTAAAAATATTATGTGACCTATTCACTGTATATTAGCAAAACAAGATATTTCCCAGTTCTTTTTAGAATATTTATAGGTCTGTGAGATGAATATATTCTCCACACAGAGGGCATACAGCCAAGGTCGAGACTGACTACACAGACTAAAGTAGAGTCATTCATCAGATTCTAGGCCACCTAAGTGGTCCATCCCTATGAGCTGTTGATCACCTGAGAGTTGCCAGCCCTGGGTTTATTCTCAATTGTGTTTACCTAGATGCAATATTAACTTCAGTATTATGGTCAGGAGCTTCCCTGTATTCAAGAAGCTATCCCTTAATAAAACTCATTTGTCACATTGCTTAGGAGTGTTTAAAAGTACGACTCTCATTTAAGTGTGATAGGAAAAAGGACTTGACCACAGTGAGACATATCAGAGAAAGGATGGCATTTGAATTTTATGACATGAAAAGATAACTGCAGAAATGAACCACATCTTCATCTAGTAAGTATTGCTAATCTAATGTTATGAATACTGTATGGATTTAACTGAAATAGATGCTTACAGACCATCAATGTGCCCCCATCACACTATTTATGTGCTAAGAACTATACTTGGATCACAACAAAAGGAGTAAAACACACTTTACACTCTCAAAGAAATCACAAGTGAAGAGACAGCATACAGACCAGCATTCCCTCAAGGTAATCCAAAGAATTCTGTTTTGTATGATACTGACAGATTAGCCAGAAAATTAGTGTTGAGGCTCCAACAGAGTTGAGACATATTGAGTAGGGCTTGTCAGTCTTTAATATGCTAAGTGTCTTATGAATCTCCATGAAACACCTTTTCCCAATATGTAGAAACATCTCATTGGAAACAGCATTCCTTGAAGTACCAAACCAGAAAATGCTTTTATGGACAAATATATGTTATGCACAGCAGGAGTTCCAAACCATCTCCATAAAGCATCCATTTTTGTCTCCACACTAGAAATAGATCCATGAGGGGGATGAAGAGGGGAGAGTGGTGGTAGAAGGGACAGTGCTGAAGGGACTGATGCTCCCCTCCCCCAAAGGAAACCCAACAGTGACGTGACTTTCCAAGCAGAGGGGAGACCGTAGTATTCACAGCCTTAATGCACTGACTCGACAAGGATGCCCTCAATATTAAATGATCAACTACGGGTCATGCAGGTGGAGACTACAGGCATTCCAAAATGGTCCCAGTGTCCAAAAGAGTTTGTATTCTCTAAGAAACTGACTCCTATTTTTAAAACAGCATCAACAACAAAAAACCAGTAGAAAAGGGAATGTCCCTTATGTGAGAAAATGATCATTGTAGCAAAAGAAAGTTGCTGTCTCCCGTCTCTCCTTTCTATTAACTCTAGAAAGTGACCAAAGAACAAAGGGAGCAGCGCTGTATGAGAGGTCTCCATCACACCTTCTGCTTCTGAAGGATTCTCTTTGGTCAAAAGGGGCTCACACTGGAGAGGTAAAACTCTTCTGAATGCCAACAAACCAATCAGTGGTTTGGCTTCCTGCAGGCAGCATGGTCACTTTCCCACTGCTGGACTGCTTTTGTTCTTTTTGTTGAGGGTGGGAGGGAGAGGGGCAAGGAAAGCAGCAAGATCTGTACCAGTCATGGGAAGCTATGGTTCTGTTCTTCAAAATTCAGTAAGAAGAGACATTCAGCTGGTCCCCAAAAGCCAAACCTCTCCCCTTTTTCATGAGTTGTTATGTACTCCTTCACTGGATGACATCACCGACTCGATGGGCATGAGTTTGAGTAAACTCCGGGAATTTGTGACGGACAGGGAGGCCTGGCCTGCTGCGATTCATGGGGTCGCAAAGAGTCGGACACAACTGAGCGACTGAACTGAACTGAACTCACTTGCTCCCCAGATCTGCTTCATATCATGCTTTCAGAAAGACTGAGGAATCTAAGTTTCAATGGATGGTAAATTTGGCAGTAAAGACGATGTTTTCTTAGGTTACTTACTGCAAGGACTGCCCTATCTCGTTCCACCAAGTCTGCAAGCTTATCCAACAGACGGCCTCTTTCTGAAGCATCCATCCTTCTCCACACTGAACCCAGAGAGAAAGCCAGGCGGGCTGCCTGCACTGCTTTGTCTATGTCTGCCTGTTAGAGAGGAAGAGAGACAATGATACAATAAAGGAAGAAACATTTGCTTTCACACACACACACACACAGAGGTGGTAAATGAACATTCGCGGCGATGTCTGGAGAGCATAAAGCTAGTGTTCTGCTGCCTGAAGGCAGCTCTTTCGCAGCAATTTTTCTTCTCAGATGAACATACCTTGTCTGCTTCCTGAACTTCACACACTTGCTCTCCTGTGGCTGGATTGTAGACGGGGAACACTCTCCCACTCTCTGAGTTCTGCCACTCGTTGTTAATAAAAATCTAAGGGAACAGACAACAGAATGGACTCCATGAGGCAAGCGACAGAAAGTCAGCCCATGGCGCTGCACTAGACGAAAGCACCACAGTAGTAACACTTCTCCGCCAGCGTTCTTGGGCTTCCCTGGTGACCAATGCGGGAGACCTGGGGTCAATCCCTGGGTTAGGAAGACCCCCTGGAGGAGGGCGTGGCAACCCACTCCAGTATTCCTGCCTGGAAAATCCCCATGGGCAGAGGAGCCTGGCAGGCTACAGTCCATGGGGTTGCAGAGTTGCACACGACAGTAACTAAGCATAGCACAGCATACTTGCTGGTATATAACTAAAGTACAGAATTTGAAGAATTACAAGAAAACCTTGATCAGTATGCAGTCTAGCCTCACCCCCAATTCAGAAATTTTCTTTGTGCTATTTTTACCTCAATGTCATCCAAAGATCAAATATAATGCTTACCTTTAGTGAATCTGTCAATTACTGAGGGAGTCAAACAAGGAAGGAAGGAGAGTCTCACCTACATACAGAGCATATACTGAGGCTGAGGAAGTATTTATTACAGTCCAAGCTCCGGCCAATACCGCAAAAGGGTAAATCGTGGATCAAACTGACAGTCATCCAGCCTGAGCTACTAGTTTCTCTGTCAGAGGCCTTAAGTGACTTCACAGGGAAACCTGAATGGTGCTGGAACAAGCATTTGCCTAATTTATAGTCAGAACCAGAACACAGCAATGACTCTGACCAAACCAACTGGTGAGTTGAACAACTTACATGTGTAAACCCCAGTTAGATCTCTTTCCTTTTGCTGGGTAGGCAAAGGGGAAAGACCTGTAACTTTTGAACTGGTCTCTTCAGGACTTTTCTTAAGAGCCTTGGTTTCTTTATATAGGAAATGAAGGCTATCTTAAAATGGCAACGAGACTAATGGTTTAAGAAATTATGCAAGTCATTTTCTCAGGAGATTTGTAAGAGAGGAGTTAAACGAGAAGGAAAAATACGGGCAAAAACATTAAATTTTTATTGACATTAAGAGAAAATCCAACTAATATTTTGGATTATGAAAGCTCAAAGAATACACAAAGATATTTTACTCCATAAAATTTATGGCACAACAACAAAAATTTCTGAAATTATGAACCATTTAGTAGCCAGTCAATTTAGAACAAACACAATGATAAGCTGATTTGCTACTGCCTGGTATTTTAATAATTACAGATGAGGCTAAGTGAGCGTATATCTACAATTTTAAATACTAAGTTCTAGATTATGTCAGATCTTTGCTTTTTCCTTGATTTGATAAAACAATGAGCCTGTGTTGAAGGAGTCTTCTTTCACTGAAGCCTTTTAAAGATAAAAGGAGAGAAAAAATACCTTAAGCCTATAAACACACTTAATACAAATGTACTGAGCACAAACACAATGACTTTGTAACAATTTTTAAGTTTTTACTATGAATGTGTAAACATGCTTAATATGCTGTATTCATTTGTATAATGTATTTAATAAATGCAAGGTATTTCTAGACACAGGAGAGGCAAGGATGATTAAGAGTTCCAGTCTTTCAGGGTCAACAGTCCCTAGTAGTTCATTAAATACTCACAACAACCCTAATGGCAGGATTTTATAATGGCAGGTCACCATGGTGACCTTCTTTTTCTGACTATTACCTCTCTTAATGTTTGCATCTTCAGTTGAAATAATAAAATCCTGCCATTATATCTAGGGTGAAACAGATCACCAGCCCAGGTTGGATGCATGAGACAAGTGCTCGGGCCTGGAGCACTGGGAAGACCCAGAGGGATGGGGTGGAGAGGGAGGTGGGAGGGGTGACCGGGGTGGGGAATACATGTAAATCCATGGCTAATTCATTTCAATGTATGACAAAAACCACTGCAATGTTGTAAAGTAATTAGCCTCCAACTAATAAAAATAAATGGGAAAAAAAAAAGCAATTAAAAAAAAAAAAAAGAAAAAGAAGGTCATCTCTGAGGCTCTGATTCAGTCTGCTGCTCTTCTCACTACACCCTGGTTTCCAGACTTACTCAGCCCAACGAAACACAACTATTTAATAAGTATAAGCCTCTTTTCACTCCATTTAACAAATTTCCTAACATTTTACAGCTCTTCGAATCTGTATACCCCTTTGAAATGCAGTATGATCTGAAAGGTAACAAAAGAAAAACATTTATTAGAGGTTAGTTTCATTAAACATCCACTTCTGGACCTTATTAGGTTTAAGGGAAAATGGAATGGGTCTTGCCAATACTCTTTTTATTCACTATTTGACTGAAACGTCTTAGCTATTGTTATATCATCAGATCCAATTACAGTTTTTAAGCTTTGTTGAACAGTTCTAAGTGTATGTGGTGGTGGTGGTTTAGTCGCTCAGTCATGTCTGACCCCATGGACTGTAGCCCGCCAGGCTGCTCTGTCCATGGAATTCTCCAGGCAAGAATACTGGAGTGGGTTGCCATTTCCTCCTCCAGGGGATCTTCCTGACCCAGGGATCAAACCTGGGTCTCCTGCATTGCAGACAGATTCTTTACTGACTGAGCCACCAGGAACGTATGTAAGGATTGATATTCCATGACCTTTTATTGTTTCTTAGAGGTTTTCCAAAGATCAAACGGAAAAATTACTTATTTTTTAATAGAATAAAATTCATCCTCTTACTGTTATTTAAGCCCACAGATCATTTTCTCAATATAAAATGTAGTATAGGATCTTTTTTAAAAATTAATTAATTAATTTTAATTGGAAGCTAATTACCCTACAATATTGTGGTGGTTTTTGCCATACATTGACATGAATCAGTCATGGGGGTACATGTGTTCCCCTGTCCCAAACCCTCTCTCACCTCTATCCCCATCCCATCCCTCTGGGTTGTCCCAGTGCACCAGCTTTGAGTGCCCTGTTTCATGCATCGAACTTGAACTGGTCATCTATCTCACATATAGTAATATATATGTTTCAATGTTATTCTTTCCCTATTTGGAACCAGTCTGTTGTTTCATGTCCAGTTCTAACTGTTGCTTCCTGACCTGCATACAGATTTCTAAAGAGATAGGTCAAGTGGTCTGGTATTCCCATCTCTTTCAGAATTTTCCACAGTTTACTGTGATCCACACAGTCAAAGGCTTTGGCATAGTCAATAAAGCAGAAATAGACGTTTTTCTGCAGCTCTCTTGCTTTTTCGATGATCCAGTGGATGTTGGCAATTTGATCTCTGGTTCCTCTGCCTTTTCCAAAATCAGCTTAAACATCTGGAAGTTCATGGTTCACGTACTGTTGAAGCCTGGCTTGGAGAATTTTGAGCATTATTTGACAAACATGTGAGATGAGTGCAACTGTGTGGTAGTTTGAACATTTTTTGGAATTGTCTTTCTAAGGGACTGGACTGAAAACTGACCTTTTCCAGTCCTGTGGCCACTGTTGAGTTTTCCAAATTTGCTGGAACAACAGACTGGTTCCAAATATGGAAAGGAGTATGTCAAGGCTGTATATTGTCACTGTGTTTATTTAACTTATATGCAGAGTACATCATGAGAAATGCTGGGATGGATGAAGCACAAGCTGGAATCAAGATAGTGGGGAGAAATATCAATAATCTCAGATATGCAGATGACACCACCCTTATGGCAGAAAGCGAGGAAGAACTAAAGAGCCTCTTGATGAGAGTGAAAGAAAAGAGTGAAAAAATTGGCTTAAAGCTCAACATTCAGAAAATAAGGATCATGGCATCTGGTCCCATCATTTCATGGCAATTAGAGATGGAGAAACAGTAGAAACAGTGGCTGACTATTTTTTGGAGGCTCCAAAATCACTGCAGATGGTGACTGCAGCCATGAAATTAAAGGACGCTTGCTCCTTGGAGGAAAAGTTATGACCAACCTAGACAGCATATTAAAAAGCAGAGACATTACTTTGCCAACAAAGGTCCATCTAGCCAAAACTATGGTTTTTCCAGTAGTCGTGTATGGATATGAGATTTGGACTACAAAGAAAGCTGAGCACCGAAGAACTGATGCTTTTGAACTGTGGTGTTGGAGAAGACTCATGAGAGTCCCTTGGACTGCAAGGAGATCCAACCAGTCCATCCTAAAGGAGATCAGTCCTGGGTGTTCATTGGAAGGACTGATGCTGAAGCTGAAACTCATACTTTGGCCACCTGATGCGAAGAACTGACTCATTTGAAAAGACCCTGATGCTGGGAAAGATTGAAAGTGGGAGGAGAAGGGGACAACAGAGGATGAGATGGCTGGATGGCATCACTGACTCAATGGACATGAGTTTGAGTAAACTCCGGGAACTGGTGATGGACAGTGAGGCCTGGTGTGCTGCAGTCCATGGGGTCGCAGAGTCGAACACGACTGAGCGACTGAACTGAACTGAACTGAATGTTATTCTCTCAAATCATCCCAGCCTCGCCTTCTCCCACAGAGTCCAAAAATCTCTTTTGTGTCTCTTTTGCTGTCTCACACATAGGGGCATCTTTACCATCTTTTAAAATTCCATATATATGCATTAATATGCTGTATTAGTGTTTTTCTCTCTGACTTACTTCACTTTGTATAATAGGCTCCAGTTTCATCCACTGCATAAGAACTGATTCAAAAGCACTCTTTTTAATAGCTGAGTAATATTGCATTGTGTATATGTACCACCACTTTCTTTTTATTTTTTTATTGAAGGATAATTGCTGTACAGAATTTTGTTTTCTGAGGTTTGCTGAAACCTCAACATGAATCAGCCATAAGGTATACATATATCCTCCTTTTTGAACCAACCTCCCCACTCCCTCCCCATCCCACCCTGGGATGATACAAAGACCCTGTTTGAATTTCCTGAGCCATACAGCAAATTCCCGTTGGTGATATATTTTACATATGGCAATGTAATTTTTCATGTTACTCTTTCCATACATCTCACCCTCTCCTCCCCTCTTCCCATGACCATAAGTCTACTCTCTATGTCTGTTTCTCCACTGCTGCCCTTTAACTAAGTTCTTC